AGAAGATAATGGATCAGCTAACTGATTCAAGGGAAACTCACTGGCACCCCAACACTCCATAGGTTTTGAAAGGATAGTGGTTTGGCAACAAGGATGCTGCAGTTTCCAAGATGTACATTGCTCATGATAGCAAGTCGGAGATAGGACCTCCGGTATGTGTGTAAAATAAACTCTACGGCACTGATAAAACTTAGGGTGGATTAGTAAAAGCGTAAGGCTCTCAGATAAAAGGTTTTCTGAACATTAAGTCGGAAGTAACGCTCTAGTAACCTCCATTAGTATGGATTGTGGAGATAACCGTCTACACGCTGCAGAGAAACTGCAGGTCGGAGGACCGGCTTTCGCTACAGTCAGTAGACCCCGGCAGGAGGTTCGGCCAATCAGCACTTCTTGTATGCGAACGGCCCTCATTGTTAGCCAAGGCTGAGTTTGGACGGGGGGGGAGAGAACTGACACCAAAAATTTTAACCTGGAAAGTGCACGGTATGTTCCAGTTACCCGAATCTGAGAGCAATAAGAGTGCGCCTAACTATTTTTAACGGGCGAACAAACTGCCTTGGAAAGATCAGAGCAAATACCATCGAGAAAACGACTGTGATTTTGAGTATACACTGATCTTAAGGGAAATGCTTTCCAAAGATGTAAAGTAACTGGTATGATGGACTAGTCTCTTGATCTTAGGTCGAGTCACGAGCTCTCAATTTATTTGGCTAAGGGGGCTAAAGGTTTGCCAGATGTTACGGCTCAGTCACGTCTAACCTTGGCAGAAAGTTCCACCTAAGTCACTATTTACCTACTGTCTCAAATGCCTCATGGCGTTTGAGAAGACGGGATCAGTTTGCTGACCTGCCTATCGTCGGTTTGGGATACGAACCCTTTCACAAGAGCGGCTGACACGACAGAGAGCTAGTGAGTGTAGGTTATTATTTATCGGTCAAGTGATCATCCTCTCCTGAATGAGGACGTTTGCACTGCAATGGCCGTAAACACTGAAAAGTACCGTACTGCGACAACAAGCCTGGAAATTGTGGGCGGATGTGATAGAAACGTCACCATCCTTGTTTTACGATTCAGCACATGGCCCTCGGCAACCAACAAAAAAAAACCTAGGAAAATGAAGAAAAAACGCTTTCGTACATGACTAATGAAGGTGACGTTTGTTGGTCGGGAGAAAAGCTGCCACCGGTGGAAATCTCTTCACCTAAATTATGGGTAAAAAAGGAAACAAGATGCAATGAATTGAGACTCCTTGAAACGTGGAGGTAGCAATAAGGCCAGAAGAGGCGGCATTTCAACACTCATAGTGTCAACATTGTTGGAAGGTGAATTTCGTCAGCAAATGAGAAGTCATGCCCTATGGGGCTGCGATATTTAAAATTTTCCAAAAGACCAACGACTTTTATGATGCAGAGTTATCAAAAGGTGCACACACAGTTGCCTTTTTTTCGCGGTTGCATATTTTACTTAGCTTCTTACTTCTTCTCAGCCGCGCGTAATAAAGGTGAAAAAATATGCCTAGGTAGCAGAAATTACTTTTCAGCATCAGTGCACATCTAGAGATGCAGAATGGGTTCGTGGGGGAACGCAGTTAAGTTACGTAATCTCGATTTTTTACTTCGAGTTATGGCGCTTGACTTGCAGTTTCGGCAGAGGTCATCCGGTCACTTAAGAACGGATCAATTCGCTTGTCCCACACACGAAAAATTGGTATTTTTGAATGAAAATAAAAATTTCTTAGAGGTAAGACAGCAAATTATCGAATAAGTTGTACATTCGATGGATATATAGAAAAGTCTTACCAATAATGGAGGATAAATCCGGACCTCGGAGTTGTTCAAGATCCGCAGTAAGGTAGATAGGGTTTTTGCATTTTTGGCATGAGTGCTGACCAACCGAGACCTTCTGCGACTCAGGTCCACCACGGGAACGCTCGTCGACCTCAGACATTACTGGCAAAAAGAAGCAAGAAATTGTCAAATGCAGGTATTGGAAAGGCTAAGGCAAATAGGGAACACCTATTTGAAGACAGAGGATGGAGCACTATCAATCCTCGGATATGTTCCGAACGAACGAAAAAATTTTGACCCACATACACTAAAGAAAGTCGGCTGCCTCGAATGGTCATCTCTCATCGGAGCATTTTAGAAGAATGCGTGTTCGGTTATAGTTGAAGCTGTGGAAGCCTAAAATCCACCTAAAGTAGCCACAAATTTGTCTGTCGGAGAATAGATAATTGTTCTCCCAATTAGTGTGATTGAAAAATGAATTAAGCGCTGCTGGACTAAATACTGCAAGCAGTGGGTCTGCATCATACGTTTCAGGGAGGGAAGGTGCTCAAACTGAGATAAATCAAACAGATAGAAAAGCCGAAGTTTGAAAAAATTAAGTTATTTATTCATAAGAACAAGACTTTTAACAAGTATTCACAAGATCACAAAGAAGGCAATAGGTGGCAAGAGGAAAGGATGGTTGAAAAGACAAGCAATTGTCATCAAACCCTCCCTTCAACCTCCTTTTGCTCATCCCCAACACCGTCATCACGTCCATGTGATGTGTCAGTAGTAGTCTCGCCTCGGGTTGTTCTGAAAATATGACAGAAGGGGAGTAAAAGTATTGCGGATAGAAAGACAATAAATGTAAACAAACAGCGTAACGCGAACAAGTGTGTTAACTGATCAATCAGCCATAGAAAGGGCTAGTTGGGCGGCGACCGATAACCATTAAGCCAGGTGTCTCATCTGCAAAAAGTTGAAAATGATCATGTGGTCACGGAATTCAGCAGGATTCGGTCGAATCGACAGTCCCTACACGACTCATCTGTACGCCGTTGTGCTAAGAGAACAATTTAACATGACTGACAGTTGTATTTCTTTAGCAATCAATAGGGTTTAATGCCAATATTTTTTGGGAAGTAAATAAGACATAAGCGAATATGTCTTTTGCTGGCTGAGAACCGCAACATAAATGCAAAGCCAGTTTAAAAGAGCTCCAGTTTTGAAGTTATAACTAGGTGGAACATCTCAAAAAAACGATGTTTGAAAAGTTGGGGACTTCAACGAAAAAAACTCTAATGGGTGCATAACTATAATTTGGTTCCCAAGAGTAAATAGCAAACAAGCGAAAGATGGTAGGGATACATCGAAAAAACGGAGGTAATGTCGAGATGGTTTTTGCTTCCTGTACACTTCATTGCGCGTTGAATCGCACCGAGACAGGAACAGGCTATGTCAGTAGTTCACAGATAGGGTCTTACGGTGCCTACAGATTTCCCAATATCTTTTTCGCCATAACATAGCACCAAAATTCGTTTTGAGAGCGACAGGCTTAAGGGTACATTGAGGTCACATAATATATCGGTACTAGCTAAAAGCCCAGACAGTGTTTCGCCAATTTGCTGCCGCTTTATGACGCAGCTGCGAGGGGTGTGGCTCATCAATGGGTCTCCTCTTGTTTCCGTGTGCGCCCTGGTATATAACGATACGTAAGGAGGCCAGTATGTCACGTAGGAAGGGGGTTCACTGACCAATCCTGCGTGCAGGAACCAACACAGCGTTTGGCAGCAATGAGCAATCAATAATCAAAGGCGACCGACAGTGGACGAAGAGGTCACCCGAACAAGGTAAAACAACAAGTATCAGAGGGGTAGAAAATAGGAAGAGCTGGAAAATGAGGGTGCATAACAGTGGTAACAACCAGAGGATTAGGACGAAAGCGGTAGGCGAGCATCATTCGTTTTCTGTAGGCATCATATTCG